ATATATGTATATAGTTATATATATGGTGGCAACCCAGTTTTCAAAGGAAATCTTTCTTATGCCTAGACACAGCCACACACAAAAAAAGTTTGTACCTCACTTATTTTTAAAGTTATCGGGATTACAACATTCACAGACAAACAATTGGAGGGTATTTCCAATTCCTCCTTTTCACTCATCGAAAAGACCAGATTCTTTTGAGAAAGACGATAGACTTGTTTTCTGCAGACACAGTGATATTGAGGCAAATCTTAACCTGCAGGATGAAAATTTAAACCCCCTGCTAAGTTTTATAGATTTACTTCCTTCTGTCTCAGTGTGTCTTCTTCTACACTCAGGCAACATTTTGCAGTCTGCATTGCGGCATGCAGGTTAGACCTGAATCAATGGTTCAGTTAGTTGAATTTTCACCGCTTTCCAGTCAATTTCATATGTATAAAAATTCAACTCTTTAAGAAGAGATAGAGTCAGTGCAGGTATTCCTGCAGCTCATGGCCACATCCTTAAACAATTACTTTGAGCTTACGAGAGATATCACTCTAGAGAGGAGAGGGCGTGATTTTTATTTTCTTGCAGCCCTGTTATTTTTTTCCAATGCATTCTTTCATCCTATATCTCTGCAATGAATAATTCAGACCAACACTTTCCTCTACAACTCCATCTCTTTGCTTTCTCTGGTTTTCTCTTTTCCCGCCTACACATCCCTCCCTGTGTGAAACACACCAGCGCCTGTCATGCAAATCGCTCTACCACGTGCATTGTGTTTAAGGTTTTCCTAAAGGGCTACATGGATGTGTAGTCACGTCTTTTTTTGTAGAGGGAGAATACTGCCAGAGGGGGGTGGGAGTGGGAGGAAAGGAGGACGAGTAATGAGGGAGAAGGAATGGATAAGAAGGAGGCGATAGGTGCAGGAGGTGAGTGAGATGTGGAGTAGAGAAATAGATTTTTAAGCGAGGTTAAGGGCAGGAGGATGGAGACAGTGACAATGTTAGACAAAGACAGTGTGGACGAGCGAAGAAGATGAAGGGTTAGATGAAAGTTCAAAATGTTAGGGGACTGAAAATTGTATGGCAAAAAGTCCTGAGTCAGGAATTTGTTTTAAGTGGAGGTGCATCCAGTTTGTGCACTGCAACAGAGGAGGAGATGGGAGGAGAAGATGAGCCAAGGGATTGTGCTAAAGCAGAAAAAGGACAGAAGGAGGCTGCAGATGGAGAGTTACTATGGGAGTATACTACATATAAAAGAGGACAAAAAAATACAGTGCTGCTGGAGTGACAATTTGTAAGACTCCAGCAGTTTGTCAGATTTTCAGTTACAGCCTGTGAAGGAACGAGATGAAACAAATGTATGATGAGAGGAAAAATTAAGGGGGAAAACAATGAAAGTGAGGAGGCGAAAAGAGGAGGAACTCCCACACATACAGTTCATGATGCTAATGAGGTGCTGGGCTGCACGGGTCACACAGACAGTTCATTAACGCTGCCAGGTAGTCCACAGACCGACCAGCTGGAGTCATTTAGCTCTGGTCTTAAGCTGACACCTGCAGAGATGTTCGGTGTTTATAATTTACATCTACGCTTAAGCCAGAGTAGCCACATTCTATATATTATAAAATATCAATTCAGGAAGACGTTTATTATAACAAAAGTGCCTATTTTTTGTTTGCTGTTAGCAATATTGATGTAGAAAAACTTGTTCTGTATCTAATAGTTATTATTAAAGCGGCATTGTAGTGTTGGGTGGTCTTGACTACAACACTACGGCATTGTACGAGTAGCATCTTAAAATTTTAAAATTCTAGTAAAAATTCACTCAGCATCAAGTTATAGCTTTTATTTACAAGACATGGAGATGGAATGAGAACAGAGGACAGAATGAAATGCAGGAGGATGACTCGCTAAAGAGGAAAAAGCTGAAAGAAGAATTGTTACAGGATGGCAGAAATCCACCCCGGTCTTGGCTACACCTTTAGTTGAACTGACTGTGTTTGTGATTTTACTGAAGCAACAGACCTGCACATGTACTGTCTTGCTCAGCAGACAGATGAATGCATCATATGACTGTGTGTTCATTAGCATGTAGAGCTGGTAACTAACTTCTGAAGGATTTTAGTGCCAGGTGTGAACACTTGTATTTAAAGCTCTCCACTTGTGATTGACTCAGTCCGGCAAGTATGTTAGTGTCAGATATGAACAGAGCCTTATGTCAGCTAACATAATCCTAAACCTGGTGCTCCACACAACTACTAAAATGTTCATTGCATGACGGTAAGAGAATATAAAAATCAACATTAATCTTGGGGAAGCTAAATGTTTCCTGATAGGCTGGAAGAACAACATCTACAAATGGCCTGTTGGCAGACCCTTCTACTCTTATAATTTTTCCAATCACCGTCCTCTGCTCTCACCCTTCCTTCCATTCATTAGATTCTCCTCCTCGGTCTGTTGAATATTAGCTATGGCAGGGAAAACCCTAAAAGAGGTTCTGTCATTATTTCTCTTCTGTTGTTCTGAGTTTTTCATCCTCCACAACACATATTTTCTCACTCCCACTAAGAGAACACATCCAGGTACGTTACGATTAACAGCTCGGGGAGGATGGGCGTGTATTCAGCTCTGTTTGTGAGATCGGGCTGCTGTCTGGAGGTCAGGATGGACCAAAGTTACCATGGTTACAAAATTAAAAATCACAGCAGCGATGCTGCCAAAAAAACATTCCTCTACACAACATGCACACCCTGAATTTCTGCAAAACGTGCACAGCAGCATGGACAAAGCAGCTTTTAGTTTAGAAGGGTTGCGAATTTCATATACATCACCGTTTGTAGAAGAAAACGCAAAGGAAGAGGAAAATCTGAACAACAAAAGGCTTGACAGGATCATAATCAGAGATAGACTAATATATTTACCTTGTTCCAACAG